TGGTTGAAAAGCCTCATAAAGAGGTTATCAGGGCGCCATTACAAGTGCAAACAATAGCGTCATGCCCACAGTTCTATTTTCAGCTCATGGAAAGTATTTTAAGATCATGTGATGGTGGAGATAACAGATGACGCAAGCGTTAATGGCAGCTCCTTCTGTTTCGCTCTATTTGACTGAAAATTTCAAGGATCGCAGGGGTGCGTGAGAATTTCGTGATAGGACGAGGTCGTCGAGAGGTTTTGGGTGGGCCCTCACCGAGCGTTCACAATCGAACATGGATCGCACCATAGAGCGTGATAAATAGTGGAAATCTCGAAGATGAAAGCATTCTTCAGCGCAGTTCGGCATGAGGGGAGGGGGGTGGCATTTCGCAGGTTCCCATCGGTTACTACCGATACCTCCCGTTAAGACCTGTGAATTCCTGTGAAGCAACACAAAAGCGTGAGATTCATTTGACACTCATAGGAGTCTACAGGTCCAACTGAGGTGGGACTTGTAAGTTCAAAATGAACTATAATAGTAAAGCAAAATAGCGGATGCAGCCAATCAGCGCTTTTCGTTGAAGAACCCCCTTCGTCTAGACCATTGGTCCTTCCAGTAATGGTCCAGTCCCTATTTCTAGAAAACTCATCGAAAAGTTTTTATTGCAAAAGACTCTGAACATAAAAAAGCCCAAAAGTCTCGGCGAAATAATTCCTAATAAAATTTGCAAAAATTCAAAAATACCTAGAAATTTTTGAAACTTCAGAGCCTTTTGCAATGAAACTTCTTTGTTCCTCTTTATGTGTTCACAAGCAGATTTCAGTGAAGCTGCTGGACACTACAATACTACATTGAAGATTTCAGATGAATAAATAACGGTTTCATCACATTTGGTTACTGTAAAACCCCTGGCAAATATTTTTACGTGTAGCTTGAGTGCGTGGCGCATCCCGGACTGGTCATTGTAAAGCGCTGAAGCTTTGTGAATTGTAAAGCGCATGTGGTTCCACGGAAGATAACTAAATAATTGCAACCATTCTTGTCTGGGATGTGGGCAGATTAAACCCTGGAACGACTTGACGGCGCGTTTTTCGTGTTACTCTGCCTCGCCCATGGGTGGATTCTAAAACTGGATTCACATGGGTGGATTCTACAACTAAAACTATTTTTTCTCTAAAAATTTTAGAACGGTGTTTCTCATTCATTTCGGCTATTTAATAGCGTTTCAATAGACCAAAAAAACCACCATAAGACAATGATAAATAATGCGTAGAACCTGGGCAGCCAACACATATCACGCAGTGGGTGGTCCGTGATCTTGTGCTTGGGCTAGAGATAATGGAAGTGGTACAGGGATTTCACACGAATCACCAGTGAATCCAAATGGGCATCTGTAATCGACAAATAAATCCCATTGCCCAAATGAAGTGGTTCGGCAGCTCGTGCTAAGACCCATGTGATAAGAAAATGCAGCTCAGGGCTGTGTCACATTACGTGACAAGTTATTTCGAAGAAATAAAAGTACTGTTTGGAACTGTGAACATCAGAAAAGGCGGCGGTGTCCGCAAAGCGGAGACGTTCAGATGGACTTTCAAAAAAACGCAGTCACTCGGCCTGTCACGAGCTCACTACGAGCACGTGGAGGCTCGTTAAGTCTCGACGATGTCCAGCCTTTTTGCAGCCCTAGGCGAGACTGCAGATCGATGCGAGGCAGCGAGCGGATTCCCCCATCACTTTCAACTACTACAGCGGTATTTTCGGACACAACTACGAGAATGTGCCGCTCGTTTAGTCTGATGTGGGGGCGCTCTCGATGAAAGGCCTGGCCTAGAACGACAAGCAGGAGAGGGCGCTCCAATAATCCAGTCACTGGATACCTCCTGCAATATTCAGATGCTAAGTTGCTCGTATCTTAAAAGGATGATGAATTCTCCAACTTCTCCCCTTTCCCTGGCGCATAGCCTAGGCTGTATAACCCTACACACGCAAAAAAAATGAGCCTTGCAGCAGATGAATAAAGCCCAAGCGTCCTGAATAAACATTGTAGGCAGATAGCTACATTTCGCACAGTAACGTGAATTTTCAGGAACTTTTAGACTTTTGAACAGTTGTCCTAAGCAGTTGTGCTTCATCATGTCAGTTCAATAGTGAATATTCAATCGTGGGGGTTTCTCAAATAAATCAAGCCCGAGCAAAAATAAAATACAGTTTTGATAAATACACCAATAAGAAGTCCCTGTTCTTCTTTAGATCTCTTTCCGACGATCACTCGCAAGTTCACCTTTGCCTTCTTCTGAATAATGGGTGAGCAGATGAACTTTGAAAAATGAACGCCATGAACAAAACATATGAATAAAAAGATAAATAAATAAATGAGTAAGCAAATAAACCGTGAAATTTAGCTGTATCTCTTCAGAGTAAGCAAAGCAAGGACCTTCATGCGC